CATTTCATCGATTTAGTACTCCAAAAATATTTCTTTGAGCTCTTTTTTTCATGAAATATAAAACTTTTGAGGTCTTGTTAATATATATGTCGTAGTAGAAATTAAAATTCAGTAGAATTTAAAATTCTACTAGTAGAAATTAAAATTTCAATTTCTACTAGGAGAAATTGAAATAACCGGCGATTTCAATTTGCACTAGTAGAAATTAAAATTTTAATTTCTACTATAGGAGAATTTTAAATTCTACTAGAAACTTATACTATAGAAGTGTATGAATTTCTCCTATAATAGAAAATAAAATTAACCCTTATACCAATGATGCAATGTGTAGAACGAAAAGAAAAAAATATTTTGGATATTTAATTTGAATTTTTCGCGTCAGTATCAAAAGAAAAAACATTTGAATAGTAAATAAAATGGAATTATTCTATTCAAAACTTGATAAACATATAGAATCTTTAGACGAAAAATTTCGTTCAAAATTTGTTATCACACGAGCTGTTTATAATGACATCATATTGGTGATAAAAGATGGTTGGGGTGAAGCACAGTTTAAATTCTGGGTCCACAAACACTTTAAATTAGTTACTATTGGCGAATTACAAGTTGTTTATGGCATTAAGTCAAATAATCCGGTGATTACATATGAACAATTATATATAAAAATTAAAGAATGTCATGAAAGAGTAGGGCATCACGGTCGTGATAAAACGTGGAGAGAAGTAGTATTTTGTACTGAAATCGAGAACATAAAATATAATTTTCTTTTAAATTAAGGTGAAACAACAGTATTGTTGGATTCCATTTGATGTAGTAGTCATTTTTATTTCACAATGTGATGTATGTTGCAATCGAAAAGGATTTCCCAAACCAATAGCTGGTAGGACCTAGTCTTTTATTTCTCACATATTGCACACGTTACAGGATAAATTTATCTCATAGATAAACCTATTGTTTCAATTGGATATCTAACGCGTCTACAAATGGATCTAATTGACATGAGAAGCATGCCAGATGGCGAATTTCAATGGATCCTTCACACGAAAGATCACTTCACAAAATATTCCTGGGCCTATCCACTTAAGACAAAAGAAGCTCAGCCAGTAGCAGAGAAGCTACTTCAACAATTCTATACATTTGGGCCTCCACGGATCTTACAGTCGGATAACGGTAAAGAATTCGTTGCAAAAGTTATAAAAGTAACTAAGGATTCTGAAAATCTATCATTTCTGTAGTAAATAGTACTCGTTGTTTCAGGATTTAAAAAATAATTGGTCAGATCTCGTAATAATTAATGGTAGAGCCCGTCATCCTCAAACTCAAGGTTTGGTGGAGCGGGGAAATCAAACGTTGGAGGCAGCATTAGGAAAGTGGATGCAATCAACAAGGTCTTTTGAATGGTCTAAAGGTCTGTGCAACACGTTCCTTTGACTAGTGATTTATCGGTTTTATATGGTTTTAGGATTAGCACCGGTTGTTTACGCAATCAATACCAGTGATGCTAAGTCAATTAATAAAACACCTTATGAGGTTGTTTTCGGACAGAAACCACGTTCCGATTTCGAAGTGTGGAAGCTATTAAGTGAAGCTGGTATTGAAGATGAGGAAAAATTGCCACAAGAATTTGTTAATGCTTTGAATGAAGGTAAAATATTTCACCATGGAATTTTGTTAAAGCCATAGGTTTGATAACTTGTTATAGTTGATTGTGGTGGAAGTGACATTATCGGTCAATCTACTCAATGTGCTAAAGAAGTGGCTATAGCTGTTCAAAGTACACATTATTCAAAACAATTAATTAATAAAACTATGTCACCAAAAACAACAAATACTGTTGAACAGTCGCCATTATCATCATCACTAAATACCATTTGTCATAAAGGAAATGATACAGAATCAAATGAAGATGTTAAATGTTGTAATGCAATAGACCACGAAGAGGGTAACATAGTATAACGTATATCTTTGAAGTCAAATCCTCTTTTCTTTATTAGTTATATGTTCTTCAACTTTAGCTTCAATTGATAATATGAATAATAATAATGATGGTGATGATATCTCAACACCAGATAGACATAAACGAATTAGAGATGAAGCTGAAGAAGCTTATATGAAAACAATTGCTAAAAGACAAAGATTATATGATGATGCTCAACACTTACGACAATTCCAAATTGGAGATTTGGTTGGGTTAAAAATTGATAAAGTTGATAGAACCAACACAACACCAAAAATTTTACCATGCAAAGTTATTTCAATACAATCATCATATGATAATATCAATATCTATTGCCTTTGTACAACAAAATGTGTTCTTTCTTCAAAATATTATGTAAATGATTTGATTGATTTAACAAAATGTAATTTTGCGGAATTGCGTGCTATTGATTTTCAAACATTACCAACACAAACATTTATTCAAGCTTGCAAAGATTACGTTAGCAGTGGGTTCAATCCAGTGGTTGAAGCTTGTGTTTGTCATGGCGCCTGTGCTACAAAAAAATGTCAATGCAAAGCAGCTAAAGTACCATGTGGTACAAAGTGTCATCCTGCTAAAAAGAAATCTTGTACAAATATATAGATGTTAACTTCTTGATGAACTTAATGACCCCCAACGTTGCTCTCTATTTTATAAATAAATAATTCATATTCTTTTGCAGATCACCATTGGTATAAGGGTTAATTTTATTTTCTATTAAAGGAGAAATTCACACACTTCTATAGTATAAGTTTCTAGTAGAATTTAAAATTCTCCTATAGTAGAAATTAAAATTTTAATTTCCACTAGTGCAACTTAAAATCGCCGGTTATTTCAATTTCTCCTAGTAGAAATTGAAATTTTAATTTCTACTAGTAGAATTTTAAATTCTACTGAATTTTAATTTCTACTACGACATATATATAAAAGAATAGATGTCAATCGATGCCTCTTTTACTCTTCATTTCGCAGAACTCTAATAACATTAAACATACATCCGGCAAGACTATAACAAACTAGACTTAGTGGCCCGTAGTGAATTGGAATCTAAAGCCCAAATTTTCGGCGTCTAAACAAGATCTCATTATTAGATTAATACTATTTGGACTACCGTTTACTAAGTGAAAGATAAGTACTTTGGCTATTGATAATAGTGTGGTACATTTTACGGTCCTCATTTGAAGCAAAGAGTTATTTTCTTTATACTTGTGAAGCTTCGATACAGATCTCAACCATGGGAGAAAGATTTGACATTAGGGTCGTAAGAATAAAAAGAAGGTTCAGATGACTTTTAGCTATTCCTTTTGTCAAAAATCTACTTCTATGTAAAGTGGTATTATCCTAGATAATATAATTTCTGCCAGCAAGTCGTCCATCATTTGCTTTTCGTATTTATCACCTTTTGTGGATGATTTGACAAATAGAGTTGTTAAACACATTTGAATCAAATTCAAAGTTCTTATCGTTAAATTAGCCTGTTTAAAATAGAGACCGTGTCAGTATGTACCGATCAAGATGTTCAAGTTTTCAGCTGTCTCTAGTGTTTGCAAGATGCTCAAAACTAAAAATTTCAGTAAGATATCTTGTTCTGTTCTCTTAATGGTTAAATACAACTTTTCGAGTAGAATCATTAAAAGATTGACTCCATATTTTTGAAAAAAGTTTGAAAAATATATCAAGGTGAGAATTTCGGATCTATTTTCCTTATATATGGCATTGCTGCTAACATAAATTTTTCCCTTGACATTTTTTACAATCTCTTTTTTAAATATGAAACATACGTATTTATCTAATGCATCTCACCATCTCTTTCCTTTCATCAAAAAACTAAAATTAAAGAATCTGCTGAAACTTTGAGCTTTAATCATGCTATATATACTGCTAACATTGTAAAACTATAATATCATGGTCGGCACACAGCAACAGTAGCTAATGTTTTAAATTTATAAGTTTGGTAGTGAGACCTTCACTCTGAACCCAACGTGTTTCATTTCCTTAACTGACAATATAAGTGTCTCTGCTGGGGGTGATAGTTTGTGTCACATGCACTTTTTGAAATTGTTCGTCGTGTTCGTAAAGAAAAAATTTTAAGTTTTGCATATTGTGTCCCATATGTAGACAATTTTTTTTTACAAAACCGAAACGTGTTAAGTTACTTCGTTGAAAGTTTGACATTCATGATCAGCTTTTCAATCACACTCCTTTGGAACACCACTGACGGTTTATCACTCATGATTTTATGTTTATTTTCTAAAAAGATGAGTTATAATCTACGATTCAGTTGAGTTACATTTATCTGATTACAATGAATCATTCAACCTATAGCAGAAGAATTCTTGATGAAAACTATCAAACAAAACATTTTATTATACAGAATTATTTCTGTGTTAAACTTTATGGTCTTTCTAATTAATCTGTCATGTATTGCAATGCAATGTTTACCGAATCTTAGTTGAGTATTCTCAATAACCTTTATAAAAAAAAGTACTCCTTCTTTGCTGAAAAGGTTCTTTCTCTTGCAGAAAAATTAGAGATATAACGGTAACAGTACAATAATATGAAAGTCGGTCAATACAAATTCCATTGAATCTCCATAGTTCACTGATGTATTATTGGTGTAACATGCGTCATTATAGGGCTAAAGGATTCTTAAAAGTTTCTAAAGATTTCCAAAAATTTGTAAAGATTTCCAGAGATTTCCAGAGATTTCTAAAGATTTCCAAAGATTTCTAAAGATTTCTAAAGATTTCCAGAGATTTCTAAAGATTTCCAGAGATTTCTAAAGATTTCCAGAGATTTCCAGAGATTTCCAGAGATTTCTAAAGATTTCCAAAGATTTCCAGAGATTTCTAAAGATTTCCAAAGATTTCTAAAGATTTCTTAAGATTTCCAAAGATTTCTAAAGATTTCCAAAGATTTCTAAAGATTTCCAAAGATTTCTAAAGATTTCCGGAGATTTCGGGGGTTAAAATCTGCTTTTTCCCCCTTGGGTTTTCTTTGAATTTGAACCAATAGTGTTGTAGGTATCAGTAGGTGGAATGAGATTATTTCAATTTAAGAATTTCTGGACGGAGCAGTCCATTGATGAGGTGAATGTCCCAAAAATTTTATCTGACACCGATGTGCTTTTGTCCGAAATGCTGAAGCTCACAAACAATACAAAATTTTATTATCTTTCGTGAGATACAAGTTACATTGTTGAGCTTCAGCATTTCGGACAAAAAGCGCATCGGTTTCAGATAAAATTTTTGGGACATTCACCTCATCAATGGACTGCTCCGTCCAGAAATTCTTAAATTGAAATAATCTCATTCCACCTACTGATACCTACAACACTATTGGTTCAAATTCAAAGAAAACCGCTACAACTTTCGACAGAAGACTTATGAGGCCTCGTATATTTGGAGCTTTGCATACTTCCCTCACATCTGTCTGACACTAATGGCTCGAACTCAAAATCAAGTTCACATCTAAATAGGATTCTTCGTTAGCATTCAACTAAAATTCTAGTAACATAGGAATAATCCTCTAGAGAAGAGCTAATGCAAGGCATCCTTCGGGGATTTTTCTCATCTCACCGATAACTACCTTATGCAGAGAGGCTCAACTCAAAACCGAATTATCATTTCCACGCGCAACCTCATTAGATGTAAATACCTTGGAAGATTCGTACGAAACCATTTGTATGAAACCTTTTGAACATCATTTTGGAAAGGTTTTGTACTGAACCTTTTCTACGAAACCTTTTTGACTTTTCCTTTAAAGGTTTTGTACTGAACCTTTTGTGCGAAACCTTTTAGACTTTTCCGGTAAAGGTTTCGTACTGAACCTTGTGTACGGAACCATTTTCCCCATTCATCAAGAAGAAGTTTCATACGAAACCTTTTTTTTGCGAAACCAAGGAAGGTTCGGACGGTGTGCCCGCGTCCCGATCCTTTTTTGGTTTCGTAAAATACCCTTTTTTTTTACAGTGTACAAGCATCTTGCATATCAGAATAATACTCTAGCATTTGTTTATCCTTCCTTGTCATCAGGTCAACCAATGGAAGTCTACACTGTTAATAGCCTCGATCAACTACTATTGGCAAAAGTTATCACCAATGAAAACCAACTATTTACACGTCGAAATTTACCACAGGCTAAAATCTATTGTTGGACAAACTTTGATGAAAATCAAACAGTCGAAGAAATACTTCATTATTCTCCTGTAAAATTCGAATAAAAAAGTCTACCATTATTTGTTTTAAGGGTGTGAGTGTGGGTGGGTGGGTGTAGGTGTGGGTGCTTGAGAGTGTGAGGTATGGGTGTGAGTGTGCGTTTGAGAAACAACATAAGATTCACCTAAACACCTATTCACACCCACACCCGCCATGAAAGTCCTATACAGGCTGGCCTTATTTTTCGATACGATCAAGTAGCTCGAGACAAAAATAGTAGCTGACTCTAAATAATTCATTGACATTCCGTAATTGGTTTTTATGCATTCATTAAAACAACCAATGATACCTTTATCAAATTGTTGTTTTCAACTAATAAAATTCAAGATCACAATGGAACAATGAGAGTATGAAAATATGACATGGTCGATAATCATATCTTGATTTGCATGTAGATAGTGGAAATAAAAATCTGCACTCACACCCACATCTACACTTACATCCTCAAAATTCCATTCAGTTGAACCTAAAACAATAAAAATATGGAACGCTTCACGATTTTGCGTGTCATCCTTGCGCAGGGGCCATGCTAATCTTCTCTGTATCGTTCCAATTTTATTATATGTCCCACCAAAGTGGGACGACTATCATTTTATCTCATGGCTATATATATTGAATCAAGAGGAATAGAAAGAAAACGGTGAATAAGCAAAATGGAAAATTTCGAGCAATGTGAATGACTGACATCTGTCGGAACGAGTTTTATACGACTTGTTCTATTTTGTATAAACGTTGTGACATGACGTGTGATATGTGTATTCATTTGCATTGAGCTTTTATTTGTATT